GGATGGCCATCTGTCAGGGGTGATTTGAATGCAATATTCCTGCTTCTTGGCAGGGGGTTGGACTGAATGGCCAATGAGGTCTCTTTCAATGGTTTGATTCTATGATTCTATGGCCTGTCCGAGCTGCCTAGCTTGGCCACCAGCACATCTGAGGCTTTTTCTAAACTGAAGAAGGCAGGAGAGCTTCTCCAAAATGGAGATCTCATCCCTAGGAAAAAGGGCAGTCTCTGGACCAAAGAGATACCTTTTAAAGCCAATTGCTGGCTTCCAGCCTCTGTTAATGTTTGACTATTGGGGTGCTGCTAAGACTGTAGCAACCCTGGGGGAATGTAGCAACTAAGGGGCAATGCAAACCAAACTCCTGGAAAACGGAACAAGAAATTAACTCAAATAATGCAGATTCATACTGAATTGCATGGAAGTCTAGTGAGGGTAAGCAATTCTCCTGTTTCATAGGAAAATGAGACAGGTGAACTTTTTTATCCATTTAATTGCATTGATGTGATGAAGTCCTAAGAAACATCAAGACTGGTTTGATGACAATGATAATGGGATCCAGCATATATTATCATCACCCTTTTCAAAAAGGGAGAAAGTAGGCCTTGAATTGTTGCCTACTTTTAAACCGCTCTGAGTCCCCTTCGGGGTGAGATGGGCGAGATATAAATCTAGTAAATAAATAAACAAAACTGAACAGACTGTGGAAACAATAGCGGTATCTCCCTTTTAACCTCCACTGTGAAAATCCTCTCCATAATCCTGGTAAACTGCCTTCTACCTACTTCAGAAGACATCCTCCCAGAATCTCAAAAAAGCTTCTGCACCTTTCCAGGAACACTGGATATGATTTAATTTTCAGAAGAGGTCTGAGTGGAGGGCTTTTAGACAAGAGAAGAGAAAGTTAAAGTTCCCCTCATTGCACATTGTAGATTGACCAATACTTCTGAAATGGCAGGGAAATAGGTTTTGAGGAAAGGAGAGATAATTACCAAGAGACATCCTTTCTGGAGATTAAGAAAAGGTACGGCTTTATTTCCAGCTGGTGACTCTGGTGGACTCGTGTCCCAAAAAGCAAAACCCAGAGCCCCCGATCAAGCTGCGGACTGCCCTTTTATAGATTTCAGAATCAAGCAGACAAAGAACATACTAGTACATACATCTTCATACAATCATCATCATCCCTACGTCATCTGAGCATCATAAGAATATCAGGTTCCAACCTCCAACATGCAAAAAGCATGTCTCTGTCTCTAGCTGAAGAGCCAGCATGGAGTATTCCCCCTCCCTCTTGGCTGTGCTTACAGTCATCCATCAAAGGGGCCCTCTGACTTGTCAAGAGGCTTCTTACTTAGAGGGGGCCTTCTCGTACCAGCCTGTGTCTTATCTCTCTTCTGGAATGCATGCCCCTTCTGAAGACAACCAGTTTGCTTGCTGTTAGCATTCTTACTACACAGAGGGAACTAGATTTTCCTATACATTTAAAGTACATATGATTTTTATGCATAAATCAATCAATAAATATCCATTTTTCCAATATCTCCTCATCACTTCTTTCTTCTTTTCTTCCCTTCCACCCTCCCTGCTTTCCCACAATAATTCTTGGCCCTAGTAGGATCCTTGGCCCTGAGGCCACATTCCATGTGCTCACTACAAGGTTTCTTACTTGATATAATCTTGAGACAACAAACTTCCCCCTCTTTCTATTAACGGGAGTATGAATTGCAACTTGAAAAGCCAGATTCCAGCTTTAGTCAGACTCACTTTTGTTTACTTTTATCTCTTTTCCTTCTGTCTAAATCTTCTTTCAGGCATCTCTAAGTAAAATTAACTGGCTCAATGTCAAGATGCTTGTGGAAAAACAAGGCACTCCAAGGGCCTTTTTCCAAAATCCAGGGCTAATAGCAAACCACACTGTCTCTGTGTAAGGGAAATGGCTTCAGGTTTTTGCCTCAGGTGAAATAAGAAATACTGCATGTGTATACACCAGGCCTTCTTAAACTTTTCCCACTCATGACCCCTTTTTCACACATAGTATATTAAATAGCTATACAAACCAAAAGTTTACTGATAATCATAAAGAATTTTATTTTAAAACATTTCTTTGGTGTATTTATATAGTTTTACAATTTATGCAAGATGAAAGCTAGTTTGCATTCTACCAATGTGCTTGTTAATTTTTATATAAAGAACTAAATCTTGGCTGAATATTTGATACTGCAGGAGCACATTCAGAATTAACATAGGGAGCTGAATTTTCCTGGAACATTTTTGGGCTCATTCTTGTTGGGAAGTTGGGGAACAAACAAAGAGTGAAACTGCCCTTTTGTTCTATGAATCTTCATAGAATTTATGATGTTTTGATGTTTCCTGATGGACTTGGTTCCAAGAAGCAAACAAGAAATCACATGAGTATTGACAGTTGTCAGGAAACTACTTTGCTAAAATAATCTAATTTCCAATTATATTTCTTGTTTTCTTGCTGCTCCTGTCACAGATAGAATCATAGAATCATAGAATCAAAGAGTTGGAAGAGACCTCATGGGCCATCCAGTCCAACCCCCTGCCAAGAAGCAGGAATGTTGCATTCAAATCAATCAATCAATGATTTATTACGGTCTTTGACCAGCACAGTTGCATTCAAATCACCCCTGACAGATGGCCATCCAGCCTCTGTTTAAAAGCTTCCAAAGAAGGGGACTCCACCACAGAGAGTTCCGCTGCTGAACGGCTCTCACAGTCAGGAAGTTCTTCCTCGTGTTCAGATGGAATCTCCTCTC